CGAAGAGGCCATCAGAACACATTCTTATAGTAGTTTTTGCCTAATATTGAAACAGAAAACCCCAGAAAAAATAGAGCCAAAACAGGGCTTTCATCAAAATCTCTGCAATGAAATGCGACCTGATTCATTGGAGGAAACTGAGATATGGACTGATGATGGCGCTGTGAATTGGCACAACGAATCTTCTGCGACCGTCTGACGCAAATGCGGGGCTGGCTCGTGCCAAGTTGCATCTTCCACTGCAGCTACACAGAATTGGATTGAGGATGCCGCATCATAATCACCAATTTAACAATTGGGATATTGTTGAAGAATGTAAACAGACTATGGACTAATTTTGTTGTTAAAGATGCCATTATTGCTTGTATTTGTAGTATGATAGAGGGAAGAATGAGAGAATATTGAGGTTTCTTCTAGTTCATGACCACCTATCTGAGGAAGGATCTTTGCTTTTGCATGGCCATGACACTGCCTATGGCAGTAAAAACGTGAGTGTCTCAGACTCTCAACACTATCAGATTGGAAAGCTGCACTTTGGTACTTTATATTAATTTATTTGTCCATTTTGATATTCACTTTGGTATTCTTTTTCCTATTGCATGTAAGAAGCATGAAGAGGAAGTTGAGTGATGGCATGGCATATTTTCTCTATATAGAGATGGAAATGTCTTGCTTGGATTCCAATCCTCCCTTTGGCTTCTTTCATCTTTATTCCTTGGGTAGGATTTCATATACACTTTCTGTTGGGTGTGAGGATGAGGACAAAGAAGCCGAGAAAATATGTTAAGCGTCACCGATATCGCGTGCCATACCGACTTAGTATTATCAAGCTAATCATATTTCTTTTCAAATTCAAAAAATTACAAAACTTATTGGTTATCGTGCCGGCGAAACGGAGAGCTGTGATTGTTCTACCGACACCATATTAACATACCACGCGATATAACTTATACATGAAGCACTTTTGCAGGACCCTATCAAAACTTTACCTCAAATTACACTCTAGTACCCTCTACTTTCCAAAATTTACATTTTCTACCCTCAACAACTTTGATTTTAAATAATCTCGTCCATCATTTTCAATTTGGCCCGCCTGCAACAGACGCTACAAAAACTCAATTCAAAAGCTTCGGTCGCAATGCTGTCGCAGTCGTTCCCGTCTTCCTCCTCCGCATTCTTCAGAGTTGGTCTGCGCAATCGAGGGCGACGGCTGAGATAAGCGGGAGATGGGCGATGCGAAATCTGGAGCGGCGGATGCCCCGGCGACGGGCGAGCCGAAGGGCGGCGGGTCGGACGCCGCCAGGATCTCGGAGGTGAAGGCGTGGCTGGCCTCCCAGTTCGAGGCCGCCGGCAAGGAGGTCCCCGACTTCGAGTACAATTCCCGGAGCGTCGCGCATCTGTACAACCTCGCCGCCGCCTCCCAGGCCAAGACGCAGGCCGCCAGCATCGTCGCCTCCGATTTCCGCCAGAAAGCCGCCGAGTACCGCTCGCAAGGTCAGTTCGGTTAACTTTTTGGATGGTAGCGACGCCCGCATGCTTTGTAGGATTGGGAAGTGATGTGAAGCTGTGATGAACTTCAGTTGGTGGTTTTCTCGGTTTGAAATGGGTTCTTCTCCAATTTTTTGTAACTGTGTGAGAGCAATGATTGTTCTGTGGGGATAATACTTCATATGGGTTTTTAAATTGAGGCATGGTGTTAGAAATTTTTGAGGGGTTTGGTCATTTTTTGAAGTTTTGTGGATGCAGCTGCTAGGATTAGAGAGATACTGGAAAGTGCAGGGTTGGCACAAGAGAGCTTGGCTTCAAACATTGTGGCCTCTGCCCAAGCACTTGCCAATGTCGCCAATTTGTTGAATATTAGGGATACTGAACTGAGTAGGTGAGAGGGCTTCCTGTATTTAGTTTTGTTATCCTCGATGTTGTCCTTCTGGTTTGTATGATTCGTACGTGGAAGTTGCAGCTTTCTTGTAGCGATGGGGGACATTTCTTTGAGAAAGTCTAGTGTTGAGGAGAAGAGGGCTAAAGTGGAGAAGGATTCGAAGGTTCTCCTTGATTACACCAGGAAGGCAATAGCAAGACTGACCTATTTGAAAAGGTAAAAGCCAATGTACAAGTTAACTGTTCTCTGCAGGAATTGTGATATGTATGCTGTGGGAAGTTTGTGACGTCATGAGTAAAGGGAGATGCAACAATGTATGCACTTTGTGATGCTGAGTAAACTTTGGCCGATGGGTCTCTCTCATTTTTTCTTAACATGTTCCTTCGGTGTGTTTGGATTCAAATTGCATGCTCATGCATTCTTAAAAATATCCTGGCAAAATGTCCGGACAGAACACTTGCACAGCTTGAAGACGACGTAGCTCCCTGTGAGGCACAGGTGGAAAATTGGAAAACTAATTTGGCTGTGATGGCTTCAAAGGAGCGACAATACACGCAGCAGTATGCCAACTACAAGGTACCATTCCTTTGCTTATTGGCGTAATGAGATCCACAGTGAAATTAAGTTTTCAATCTAATAACAAAGCCAGAGAGGTTAACATTTGCATTGTCCTTCTCATTGTATTCGGGTAGCACTGTTAGGTGATTATGAAGTTTCTTTGGAGCTAAATTTTGATATTATCAAGTGTATGCATCTTGAGTTGAACAGGCTGCTATCTGGACGCTACATGAATCCCTAGAAATTCATGTTATAAGTTTTTTCCCTCTTTGATCATTTGGCGAATTCTATACAGACGGCACTAAATCGGGTAGGATACACTCCGGAGATCAGCCATAGTGTACTGGTGGAGATGGCTGAACACCGAAAGGAACTAGAGAAGAAAACAAAGCCCATTCTTGATACTTTGAGAAGTTACCAAGACTTGCCTCCGGTAATTTTCCCTTTTCTTTTGCCTAATATTGACTCACACTGCAAATGTTTACTACTTCACCTGTATTGAGGTCTATCTTATCTCTGAATTATGCTCCTCCTTATGTGTTATCGTCTTGCAGGACAAGGCTTTAGCTGCTTTAGCAATTGAGGACAAGAAAAGGCAGTATGCTGCAGCTGAGAAATATCTTGAAGACGTGTTGCATTCAGCTCTTTCAACATCTGAATGACAACGAATATTGATCTGATGTAAGCATTGCCTCATACATTATGTTTCTCGGGGGGTTAAGCGGAAAAAAGATGTTTGGTTTTTCGTCGTTTGCAACTCATGAACGATTGAGCTGTCCTTCGGGGGTAGCTCTCAGTGGATGAGATAGATTTGTGTCTGTATATGGGTGATGAATTTCTTAACCAAGTTAGTGGAAGAATTTAAACAATGAAGATGTTGAATGATTCATCTGGAATATTGATGATACCCCTGAGTTCAGATGATTTGGATCTCAGATTAAATGACTCGTTTTATCCAACAATTTCTGCTCGAGCAATCACTCACATTGTGTGTACAAGGATACACATCGAAGGTGGCAAGCTTATTTATTCAGTAAATTTGTATTGTTCAAACCTTATTCTACAATCTTGAAGTGGGAACTGCACCCCAATCCTATCAAAGCATTCGGTGGTTGTTTTATCAGTGGCAGAGGTCAGACACGAAGTGCAATCTGCATGCGAGAGACCTCCATTGCACGCTGCATGGCCATAGCAGGTCGGACCATCACCTGGAGATGCATCGTAGTAAATGTAACCTGGGTCCGCTGTCCTCTCCACCAAATCATTGAGGACCCAGTTTCGACTACTTCCAAACTTACCTCCATTGCAGATTTTGTCTACCAACTTTCTGTTCGGACCACCCCGATGACGGGAAAGATGCTTAGGAGAAATGCAGATCTTTGAAGAGCACACAACGGTTGTTCTCTCATCCTCATTTTCTTTTCCCTCTTCAATGCCTTTCTGTTACTGTTCTGAATAATGAATTCATTTGACTTTACAAAGGCTTCAGTCTCTTAGCATTCTCCGCACCTTTGCCATCGTTGGATTAGATTATGATTTCTTACCAGCTTTGGTCCTCTCTCTCTCTCTCTCTCTAGTTTTTTTGTAAGGAAGAAGTGAATGTTACAAGAGAAAGAAGGATAATGCACGAAATGTTCTCAAACTAGTGTGCAGCTCTAACATGGAACTTCGCTTTTGTAATCTAATGTGTGATGTGGATAGATTGCCATGACTATCATCGTTTTCTCATTAGATGAGTAGGATTCGATCATATTTTACAACAAGACTATCGTAATGTTACGAATCAACTTACGACTTGTTGGGACGCTTTTGTATTTAATTAAGATGGCCCTTCGTGTGAAGTCATACGGTACATCAAGTGCACTGTAGAGGAACCTGAATGATTTTTACTGCACAAAACTTTTGCAGTGCACTGTAGAGGAGCCTGAATGATCTTTAGTGCACAAAACTTTTGCAGGAGTACGAGCTCTTTTTAATCCTGAGATTTAAGTAGTTTTTTAGATCTACATATTGAATCGTTTTTTTAGTAGGGTATAGACCTAAGTGTGTTAGAAGTAAATAATATACTCCATCGTAACAATCAACGCGCAAAGAATTTGATAAAGGGCAATTTAGTGCTATATTGTTGATTCACGAGGATTTGTGTAATTTCCTCTACTTCATAATAATTTGTACCCAACGACTCATTTCAACCTCAAAATTTGACCCAGGATTTCCATGAGAGCCCACGTCCTTAGAGAAGATAAAACATATTACAACAAATTACAATCATATGGGTGAAACTATATTCAAATAACCAATATGCTTGTCAACTAATCTTACAAATTTCTATTATTCCGAATCTGAATTTCAATCTTTCTATCATGCAACAACTTTGGACTTTCCTAAGACTAATTTTAATCTTTAAACATTCTTTTATAAACTTAATATATATATGTATGTATGTATGAAATACTTTTTTTTTGTCAAATGCTGGTGTGCTGTGAGTCTTTGGTTAGTAAATAACAAGAGTAAAATAGAAAAAAACCACAAAAATTATCATAACCCTGAACCTCTCAGCTTAAAAGCTCGAAGTCGCGTCTCCCTCTTGACCGTCTCCTCTCCTTCCCGGTAGAGAATTCCAAGTTCGCAGCTGCTCTCTGATTGCTCCCGTCTTCTGCCTCCACCGATGGCGATGGCGTCCACGCGAGTCGTGCTCCCAGCCAGGCACAGCTTGTGCGGAGCAGAAGCAGCTCCACTCGCTTCTCTATCGCCGAGACAACGCACAAGGCGCGGCCTTTCGCTCCTTCGCGAACGATGCGCCGCGGTGACCATGTCGGCCTCGCCCATCCCTCAGATGGACCTCCAAGTCCGGGCTTCTAAGAAATTAGACATACCCATCATGGTAATGACACTTTTTTTTTTTTTGGTTGGAATGGTAATGACACTTTGCCCGCGTAGTGTTCGATGAAATGGCTTTCCTTTTTGTTGGTGGTGGTGTGAGACAAATGTGATGGAGTCGTCTTGTTTGAAGTGCGCAAAATGCTTTCTTTTGCCTAATTCTGCTTGGTGGAAACTGTATTTGGGCATTGAGAAGTTGCAATTGCTTGGTTTTAGCATTGAAATATATGTAAATTTTGGGTAATGTGTGCTTTCGTCCTAAGTTACTGAAACATCTCAATACAATATTCAATCTTTTCCCGGCCATTTTTATTTTTGGCTTAGTCGATGGATGCATTGCATCTTTGCTGTTGCTGCAGGTGAACAGTAGTTCGGGCAAAATGGGGAAGGCTGTTATAAAAGCAGCTGAATCTGCAGGACTGGATATTATCCCCATGTCATTTGGCTGTGCCGAAGAGGCTGGAAAATCCGTACAGGTGTGTGGAAAAGAGATTAAGGTGCATGGACCTTCAGATAGAGAAAGCGTTCTGGCCTCGGTCTTTCGTGAACACCCGAATATGATTGTGGTAGACTACACTGTGCCTGATGCAGTGAACAGTAAGTGACACATCTTTAAGAGATTATGTACTGTTCGCTTGATAAGTTAAATTAAATTCTTATTACTTCTATTATGAAGGTAACGCCGAGCTGTATTGCAATGTTGGAGTTCCATTTGTCATGGGAACTACTGGAGGGGACAGGGATCAGCTTTACAAAACAGTCCGGGATTCAAATTTATATGCAGTAATTTCCCCACAAATGGGGAAACAGGTAACAGAACCCAGGATCCTTGTTCAGTTTTAGCCATCTCTGTGCTTTCTTATTTTGTCCTAATTATTCTCTAGCTTTTGGTAGGTTGTGGCATTTCTTGCAGCAATGGAAATTATGGCAGAGCAATTTCCAGGAGCCTTCTCTGGGTATTCTCTAAAGGTGCTCAGTCCTTGCTCTTCTGCATCTGCTTTCTCCTATTCTGCTCCTCACTTTGCTCTCTGTCTTGTGTAGTTCAACCCTTTAACCGGGTCTTGTTTAATGATTTTATGGATGTTTAAGTGCACATATAGCTGATGTTAAAATTAGATATTCTCACCGATGTTTGATCAGACACTTTTGATAGAGCATTGGTTGTAAGATTGACTGTGCATGTAAAAAAAAGGATGTGAGAATGGAAGTTCTGTGAGTTTTATCCTAAATTTGTCAATTAGGTGCTGTTGATCTCTTTATTTTCTGCATTATATCAACGCAAAGATAAAATATAAACACAATGATACAAACAACACACTACCTAAATCGCAAAGCAGAAAAAAGACAGTGGCCAAGTGAGGTTATAGGTGACTCATTTGTGTTGTGCTAAGCCAATGTGGGTTTCATGGCAGATTAGATACTGTTAATCTTACCAATATAGGTCTGATTCTATCCTGTGAGCTTATCTTTATTCAGTTCCTATCCTCAATTAGATTTGTTGTATTTTACCTGTTATCATTTAACTCGTCATGTTTCATTTACTTAGTTATCAAGCTGAATGATGGTCGAGTACTCTGCCAGTTGTTGTGAAGCGACCCACTAACCAGAATAGGGAATGAGATAGGAGTTCGGGTGCCCATACACTGAACCACTATCTTCACTGAAGTTTGAGGGAACAAATAAGAGAAAAAGGATTTTTTGTTAGGTGAGAAATAGGCTTCTTATATCAGTATCTCAGGAAGCATGAGAGCTGGAACCTGTGGCAATTTGAGTCCCTCGGGCTTTTCTGTAGTTACCCTTTTCTTAAACTCTAACTTTCTGAGCGATTGAGGGCCATCTTCAATCTTTAAAATGCCATAGTGTGGTTTTACCCCCTGCCTACTTCTCCTCATTTTTTCCAGTTTGAATGGGTGCATCGTTGATGTCTATTCTGGTGCACTGAGTTGTAGTGGAAGACTGGATGTTATACTGCTTTCTTAAGTGCTTGAAATAGCTTGAGAATCAGTATATGTTGTTGCTGTGGTTTGGTCTGGTGGTTTGCATTAGTTGATGAACATTTACTCGAGTGCAATGAATTTGGGTTAATTATTAATATTGCAACACTCTACTGATTTACTCTTGACCTAATGATTCCGAATTTTTATTGTAGACATAGTATAGTAAGTTATTAGTGCTTTCAGTTCACGTTTGGATTTGCTCATAGAGGCACTGATGAATTGGTTTATAAAGTATAGGTGATGGAGTCCCACCAATCAGCCAAATTGGACACCTCTGGAACAGCTAAGGCAGTAATTTCTTGCTTCAAGAAGTTGGGAGTGTCTTTTGACATGGATCAGGTTGGTTGTGAAATTATGTTCGTGGCTAGGACTCAATTTATTGGGAAATTCTTGTTAATTATTCTTTTATTTTCCTATAAAAGGTACGTTGAGGAACATTTACATATTTGTTGCGAGTCCAGATCATTTATCTGTGTTTCTATAGATTGAATTGTTAGTAAGCAGGCTGTAGATTAGTTCTTGGTGAAATTCATGAATTCGTTTTAGTTTGTTTCGTAAATCTTGATAAAGCTTTGTTTTTATGTACTCTCTCAAGAGCTAAGAGGTCTTTGGGTTCAATTCTTATACCATTGGCCTACATTGCCTATGGGGGAAAACCTTCGTTTTATACTCGCATCTTAAATATTTACTAAATTATGCATGAGTGAATGGCACAGTAGATGATAAACCGTAACAATAATCTTTGTAATTGCTAGTTCTATTATTAAGATTATTATTAATATTTCCACAGTTAAAAATATCCCACACTTATCTGTGCTTTTGCTTTGGAATACCATCAGATCCAGATGATCCGTGATCCTCAACAACAAATGGAGATGGTGGGAGTTCCAGAAGAGTATTTGCCTGGTCATGCTTTCCATTTGTATCATCTGGCATCGCCCGATGAAACGTAATTATGTTTTATTGTTAATATCTCCACCTTCTTATTTCATATGATTTTCTAGAGATGAGCATTGCAACATATTTGTCTCCTCTTTACAGAGTGTCTTTCGAGTTTCAGCACAATGTTTGCGGCAGATCAATATACGCCGAGGGCACAGTTGATGCTGTCTTGTTTTTAGCCAAGAAGGTGATAATTCTTCCAACAGAACCCACTTTAGTTTGGAATTGAATTTTTTCCTGGATGTATAAGTGCACATTAATCAAAACTTGCCCGTAATGATATTTAAAAGTTCTTTTCCTCTACTTGCCAAAAATGAGACAAGGCATTACAAAATGGCAAGCTTTGAAGCGACACCAGGTTGCTTCTCCTATAAATACTTATATATATAATCAGATTCACATAATGTCTGAATGCAATGTACAATATCTTAGTTCTGAATGAGGAAATTTTTCTTTGTATCTAATCAAAGTTAACTGTTAGGAGTTGCAGATAATTATTGTCCCTATAGATCCCATTGCCAATGTACTCGCTAATCGTGGTTTGTGAAATGTGTTGTCTTTTAGCAGATCCAGCAGAAGGCAGACCAGCATATATACAATATGATTGATGTATTGCGTGAGGGTAGCATGCGTTGATACTATTTTCATGCTGAGGTTTCTTGTGCGGCGCTTATCTTTCAGGTCAGCTGTGTTGTCTTAGTTCTGTTTGTAGTCTCAACTCTTCTTCTTCTTCGTATCATTATTATAATAATTATTAGTAGTATTTGTTTGGCAGATGTTGTATCTCCAATTCAGGACTCTGGTTTTTAGAACTTTTTGATAATCATCGTTGCTTCACATGGTAATAGAGTAGAAAAGATTGCAAGACTTGTTCTGGAGATGGATCATTAAGCTTGAGCAGCTGCAGCTTCTCTTTGAGACGTGTAGGATTTTGATTAGTTGTGATGCAAGGCATGCGTCTTAAAATCAGAGGATGCTAAGTAGAATGGCTTTGTAATTTTCCCGCAACTCTCTCATACTCAGCATTGTCGGCAACTGTACAATTTGAGCTCGCAACTTGGAAGCCATATCGAAGTGTCCTGCTTTTCTCATTCTTGCTTGAAAACTGATTTCCAGATGTGAACGATGAGTTGTGGAGGAAGCTTAATGAAGTTTGATGTTCAAACTTGAAAGGCCCACAATGGTTCAAAATGGAAATTCTCCATGGAAAATGCATTACTACTTGTACTAAGAGGGATGATCATGTGTGGATGTCAGAGGCTATAAACTTGAAAAGTATTTGATTTACAACGAATAAGATGAGAGGGAAGGAATAATGAGACAAACAGTCCATGAACTTTTGCTCAATGTGCAATTTGGTCCCTAAAATTTTAATTTATTCAATGTAGTATCTGAATTTTAATTTAATGTTCAAGGTGGTTCCTCAACTTTTAATTTGTTCAATGTGATCTCTAGACTTTTGGTATTTCTTCAATTTAGTCTTCGAACTATATAAAAATGTTCAATGTAGTCCTTAAACTTGAATTAATGGAAAGATTACATTGACCATTTTATATAGTTTAGGGATTAAATTGAACATATACCAATAGTCCAGAGACCACACCGAACAAATTAAAAGTTCAGGGACGACATTGAACATCAGACTATAGTTCATGGACTATATTGAACAAATTAAAAAGTTCAGGGATCAAATTGCACATTGGCCCAAAATATAGGGACTGTTTGTGTCATTTTTCTTGAGAGGGAATACAAGAACGTCGTCAGTTACAAATTATGATTTTCTTGGCAAGGGAAAAGTTGATCAATCTCGTCACAAATTCAAAATTTATCATATGTGAATTCCTTTGAAGTTTGAGATCTATCTCATTCATATTGCTGGAGATGGTATTGCCACTTTGCAATTGGACAATTTTGTTCACCATAAGTATACTAAGAGTGTTATAATTTTCGTGTGTCACTTACTTAAGTGTCATAGCTTCTTCTTTTTTTTTTTTTCGTTTACTTGAGTGCCACACTGGTGTAAAATTAATCACTTGAGTGTCATTTTCGGCAAATCGTTCTACGAGAATTTTTTTTAAAAAATTTTCCATTCTGTCATGGAGTTTTTAAAAATAAATTGAAGTCTAACATGAAAATATTTGTCCAACATGGGAAGAGTATAACAAACGTTGTCATTTTATGCTGTTTCTTTAAAATCTTCCCCAATTAGACGAAGCCGTTTTCATACTCTCTTCCTCAAATGAAGTTGTTTTCAAACTCTCTCTTCATGTCACTTAAGTGGTCACTTTAAAAAATTGAAGAACCTAAGCTATTGGAATTTCTGCCGTCCTTCAGCTAGATGCTCAAGCGACGTCATTTGCCTTCTTAAGTGCTGATTTTAGCTTTTCAACACGTCATGTTGGATGAAGTGCCATGTCGGCTTTACTGGCGAGTCTCAAATGATTGATTTTCAAATTTATGGCACTTAAGTGAGCGAAAAAAGAAGAAGTTATGATACTTAAGTAAGCGTTGTATTAAAGTTATGATATTCCTAATGTACTTATCCCCCTTGAGCCATTTCGCAATGCAACGGTAGCAAAAGCAATGGCTGCAATCCAACTTCACGAGCCAATCTTGATCCTACAATGGTTTTGAAAACGATAGTATAATTAGTGGTAGATATATTCAAATTAGCCTAAGGTCAATTTTAGCTGGAAATCACTGACGTGGACGCCGGCCGTCCTATGTAGTATGACTGGCTTTCACGTGGACAATTTTTATAATTTTTAAAAAAATTTCTGAATTTTTTTATATATTTTTTCTTTTGTCTTTCAAGCCCGATGAGGGCTAACCTCGCCGGTCATAGGCGAGGGCTAATATCGGTCGGCCATTGGGTGAGGGTGAGGGCTTCGCGGCCCTCGCACAATGGTTAATGAGGGTCATCTGCCCTTGCCTGTGACCAGTGAGGGTCGGCCGACAACCCTTGCCGGACTTGGTAAAAAAGAAAAAAGAAAAAAGAAAAAAGAAAAAAGAAAAGAAAAGAATTAATTTTTTTTAATTATAAAAAAATGTCCATATTAGTTCTGGTAATCCTACGTGGCAGTACCAGCATCCACGTCAGCGATTTCCAGCTAAAATTGGCCGAATATACTCAATTAGTGAAACAATAAAATGTTTATGACTCAATTGGCAAAATTGAAAGGTTTAAAACTGAATTGGCCAAAGTGCATTAGATTTTTGACTTTTTAGACAATTTTCTCGAAAACTAGATTTCTCTCTACTGTTGTGCCTAATGAGCATATGTGTCCGAGTGAGCGTTTGCATATCGACGAATCCGTGTTTATCTATTACTTGCTGCACCGCTTTGGATCTCCAAAAAGTCGCATCTTAAAATTGATGGCCCTTTGTAATGGCTAAAAAAAGCAATTCAATGTTATTAATAAGAATTTTGACAAAGCAGAAAAATTAATCGAAGAATAAGATCAAATAAAAGAAGTTTTGTGTGTTTATGTGCGATTTTAGCGAAATTATTCCTTGAAGCTGTTAATCGAGTTTCTCCTTGCCGAATTGAGGGAAAAATTACCAAAATAGTCCTAAATCTTTTTTTGTGTGTGTCAATTTAGTCCATTTGGCCAATTTTGGCCGGCCGGCATTGACGTGGACGTCAGCCAACACAACGTGGAAATTTTTAAATATTTTATTTTATTTTTTATTTTTTTTTTCTTTCCCCTTTTTTTCCCTCCTTTCATCTTCAACGTCTAGTCAGTTGCCGGTTCCAGGTACTAGCTAGAGGCGGGGTCCAATGAAGTCGGCCTCGCCCGCCCTTGGCGAGGCTCGACCTCGCCAGTTGCCGGCGAGTTTGAGCCTCGCCAGATTTGGTGTGGCTTGTCCTCATCGGCAATTGGCGAGGTCGGCGTCGCCCGCCCCTGGTGAGGCTTGTCCTTGCTGTCGCTCGCAAGGTTGAGCCTCGCCGGCAACTGGTGAGGTCGGCCTCGCTCGCCCCTGGTGAGGCTCGAACTCGCCGGCGATTGGCGAGATCCGTCACTTGCGAGGTGGAGCCTCGCTATGCTTGGGCAAGGCTCGAACTCGCAGACCCTTGCCTGTCGTCGGTTCCGGCAACCAATTAGAGGTTGAAGATGAAGAGAGGAAAAAAAAAGAAAGGGAAAAGAAAAAGAAAAGAAAAGAAAATTTTAATAAAAAATTAGACGAGAATAAAAATATTTAAAAATTACCACGTCAGGTCAACGTCCACGTCAGCACTGGCCAGCTAAAATTGACCAGATGGACTGAATTGGCACAAATGCAAAAAGTTTAGGACTGTTTTGGCGCAATTTCATTAGGTTTACGACTGTTTTGGTAATTTTGCCCAGAATTGAACAAACCCTAACTTAACATGATAGGGAAGTTGCAATTTGTATACGATCATCTACCGACGATATAACTAATACTATCTTTGCCCAATCTACTCACCATATATCCCCTTTACATTGTCAATTTAAACTATGTAGTCTAATTTTCATTACACGTCTATAAATTAAATCTCCCGCCACATATAAAAGGTTTTAATTGTGTTTTGTGATCTTAAAGCTCCGTTTATTTCGTGGAAAATGAATAATTTTTAAAACATTTTCATAAAATAGATCAATTGTATTACTTACAAAAATGAGCTAACGATAAATATATTCATCTTCTATGAAATATTTATACAAATTTATTATTGATAAAAAAAAAATTTCCATTAGCTAATTATCTCTAGCGATATAATCGATTATTTTTAGGAAAATACTTTCATAATATCATTTTCCAGGAAACAAATGGAGCCTAAGTTTGTTATTTGATCTCCTGAAATATCTCGACAGATGGTGCTGGTAACCTAGAAATTGGTTGGCCTTTGTTCTAGTTAACATTATGTATCATTAATTATCATCAAGTCTATATCTTCTCAATATCAAAACAGACACGGGAGTATCTAACTGTTTAGGTTTTATAATTTCCTTCAATCAAAATTTATTTGTTATTTTAGTTAATTATTTGGTGCTAATATTACGTCATTATTATTGGCGCATGCTATTGTTTTCTATTTAGTTCCTTAAAGTCTAAACTTATGCACAAAGAAATTAGAAATTCAGCAATGTCGTTAAATATGTTAAAATCAATTGAAACTCAATCAATCTCCTTACAATCCATTACATGAACTAATTCAAAGTTGAAAAATGCCTCGTTCATAATGTTAAAGCTCTCCTTTTGCACAATGGACAAAAGTTCCTCAGCTTCAGCCATTTCTGAATGCAGCCATAATGAAAGTAATGCCCGCAGTCTAATTTTCCTAGCTTATCCTCAACAATGTAGTCATCCTGCAATAGTTCCAGCAAAATAAAAGGTACAATTTAGTAGCGTATATGTATACTCATAGTTTGAATTTAGCTAAGACAATTACTTATGGACAACAAAGTTGTACCTCAATTCTATCTTAATATATTCTTAAGTAATTGAAGTGGTTCTTACCAGACAAATACAGCAAGATTCGGCTACGACGTTAGATTCTTCTGAACTCGAGGGTTGATATTGCTGTGACCTTAGATGTGTGAAGATGGCTTCGTCACTCAATCCTATGGAAACATTTCCCATCTGTTCATCGAGGTGGACCAGTTCAAAATAAGAAAGCATATGAGGAAAACCTAAGTATCTCATAATCACCTGTCCTGAAGTAAATTATTTCTCAAGTATCGAAAATATTGCTCGCTCGAGGGCTAAGTAAAGTTGCCACTAGTTGTCCCTTGATGTTGATCAATGGCAACATTAATGCACATTGGTTTGGTTTTTAGTTGTTTGAATGCAAAATACACAATAACACAAATAAATGTTGTGAAAGGGCTCGAGCATATATATACACGTGAAGATGAATTATAAACAGTTTCACTAATTTAGACATTTCGACATTAGCATGAGAGATAAAACTCGAAAATCACTTCGGCAACAAAACTCAATCAAGGGTGACAAATATTATTACTCGAAAACATCTATGTCCACAGCATAACTCGTGACGACACTGCAAGAAATGTTTGAAGTCATACACAAGCAGCAGGTT